CTTATCTTACACATGCATTAAGCTTATATCACCCAAATGCCATCATACTTGTTACAACTTCAAGAACAAGAACAAGGATGAGATTACCTTCAAATTGTTGTGTAATCATTCAAAATAACATGATATTCACCAACATAAAACCATAATCTTACAAAATCATCCACTAATTACAAACATGCAAACCCTAATTTCCTTGATTGACACTTATTGCAAAGATTAAACTTAGTATTAGGAGTATACCTTCAATAATCTTCACATATTCATCAACAATTCATCACTTGATCTTTGATTCTCCAAGAATTGAAGTTGTTTGAGCTTAAGTGTGTGTAATTCGCACCTTTACTGTGTGTGCAAGTTATGGGACTGAAAACGACCTAAAATGGGGTCTAAAATCGACTTTTCTAGGTTAAATCCGAGTTGGGTCGGGTTTGACCCGCCTAAGTACCCATTTTGACCACTAAACACAAAAAATAACATAACTTTTCGCTCGGAGCTCCGTTTTCGATGAGGTTTTCGCCTACGCGTTCGTAACGAAATAATCTACAACTTCCAATAAAAAAATATTCCAGAAAAGATCTTATTAAAAAGAATTGGTTTTACGAATCCATAGCTTAATTGTTGACGTTTTGACTCGATTTCTCCAATTTTCTCAATCTAACTCCGATTGGGATGAAATTTTCTAAATCCTYTCATATACTCCAAAGAAGTATGACCTTAAAATTTCATCCCCATACTCCCACTAAATCATTGGTTACCTTATATGGCCACTACTAATACACGTAGTAAAATTTCAACATGGTTAACATTTTCTCGCATGTAAGCACATAATATCCTTTGTAAAATGTAAATTAGGCGCACTTAGCAAATAATATGGGAAATTAGAATTGGGATGTTACAGAAGTACATCATTGAGAGCACATTAGTTGATGAATGTAAGGCAAGAAGTTTTATCACTAACTAATAGTTTTAAACAAAGAATGGAACTCATATATTCATGCCTAATTTACTGTTTTCAGGGATCTTTTTCAGCAAAGAAGAGGTAAAGTACTTTCGAAATTTCATTGATGATTGGAACTGAAGATTACAAAGTAAATGAAATTACAAGTTGTCTAAGTACTAACTGCTAAAAGTCTATACATTAAGAAAAAGAAAAAAAGAAGTTCTAATTATCAGTCGATCATTAAAAGGAATGTAGAAAGGGACTTGTTCTACATGATTCTTTCTTTTTAGCATCTCCTTTCTAATCTCTTTGTCCATCATTTCTCCAAAGATGTCATCATTGATCTAGGAACGAAAATACTCGAGGTGTTCAACTGGGGAAAGATGGAGTTGATATACTCTTTGAAACCTATACTCACCATCATAGTCAAAAGATAAGACCATATTTAGGTTTGGTGTGCACTGAGTTGGGAGCATAAGGACCCTTCTCGGGTAGTGTTAGGTTGAGCATTGATAGGTCAGGTCTCTTCATATGCTCAAAAAGAGTCTATTGAGAACTTAGTCTCATGTTCATTTTATGAAAAGGTCTTTCTTCGATATCAGAGATATTGGTTTTTCTTTTCTTTGAGACTTCTTCAAGTGAAAGAGGGATTTCAATTACCTTTGATATTCTGTCGAACAGTTGGTTTAGTGTGTGCTCGATCACCTCCTTGTACCTTGATTTTGATCATTGAATGACAGGTCTGATCTCTAACCATTTGTAGAAACTATATTGAGAAAGGAAGGCAGGATAGTCAGTGTATGCATGATGGTTTTCTCTATAGCTCCTATTGAGACTAACAACTGACTATCCTTGGTGCATCCAGAGATAGTCACATTTGATATTTTGTGCTCGTTCAGTCTTTCGTTGATTTTTTCTCTACACCACCTCAGTTTTTCATCCATTAGTGCTAGCTCTTTTTCATGTTCTTTTTCAGCTTCTCTAATTAGAAGAGATTGAGCACCAATGGGGTTATTCTTTTTGAACTTTCTTGAGAGCGAGCTTCCTTTGCAAGAGCGTTGGCCAACTCCAGGCTATCCTTCATTTGTTGTTTGTGTTTTTCAATCTCTTCCTCAACTATCAAAGCTTATTCTTTCTCCGTATCAGTGAGGAAATCAAACTCACCAACTCTAGAGGTACGAAGAAGATTTTTTTCTCTAGATTGGCCGAGTTGATTTATCATCTATGCCATCCTTCTGGTTTCTTCTACCTCTGAACACACAGGAGGTTTTGAGGGTCTTCTGGTGTTGAGGTAGGCGTCTTCGTCTTCAGCATCAGACTCAGGTATATACAATAGAATGCCTTCAACTTTCGAAGGTTTATTTCTTTTGATTAGGGAATCAAGTAGGGTAGAGGAAAAGCTCATAAAAGTTGAACTCCCTATCAGACTTATGGATAATAGTTAGGCTGTCTTCAGTAATTCCTTTACCTTTGGAACTCTAGTTTTTTGACTCAGGGGCCCTCTCCCTTTGAGGTTCTGATTCTCTAATCTAGACTCCCCTAAATACTGCCATGAGATTTGATTTGATGAACAAATCATCTTCATTCATCATCGTCAACATCACCAAGGTTAGTTCCAGAGTCTGGAAGATCGAGGTCCAGATCATGTTCATCATAATCCTTTTCCATCTCCCCCTTTAAGTTTAGTAACATCAGCTTCAGTGAGGGAGGAGGATGGCATATCCTCAGCAGCTCCAGTTGCCTCGACTTCAGCATGACTCTTAGAAAGGAGCTCACCAGCTTCTCGGCCTCAGCTTTAGCGGCAGTCTTCTCCCCTGTTGATTCTCTCTCTCAATGATTTGATGACAATCCCTTTTACATATACGTTGTATTTATGTTTCTGTCTTTTCAGTTCCAGCGATCATCACTGAGCCTGTTCAGTGATCGCTGAAGAACTTGTATTGTAATTCAATCAGAGACAGCGATACTTCAAGAAGACAACACTCACACCAAAGAACCTTCAGCCCAAATCGAAGACTAAAAATGAAGATTAGAGATTGGCGAGTGCGTGATCTGAAGCAGTACTCAGTGATTACAAGTCTGTCTACATATGTGTGAAGACTGCTCAAACCTCAGCGAATACTGAAGAGACCTCCAGGTTATTCCAGCATTCTACGATCAAAGGAAGCTTGCCAAGCACGATTGTTGTTGTCTTGTCCTTATGTACACAAAGGACAAACCCATACCCTTTCTAAATGTTGGTAGGGTACGGAGCCAACTAGTTGACTCTATTATCCACCAACTTTAGGTAAGGATTTCTGCTCATGAATAGTCCTTTTTCTACTATTCACTGTAGCAAAGGACAAGCCTTCCTATTAAGGTTTGACACGCACTCTAACCCTACCATAATGCATTAAATGAGCATTTAATGTAATAGGCATAGATAGAAGTGTTTCTTCTCCATGCAGAGTGCGCACAACTCACTCTCATAATCTAATTCTTACTTTGAGCATTCTCTAGCTTAAGTAAAAGAACTTTTTTCTACAGCATTTCTTTTCTCATTTGCTAAGATTCTATGTGTAACCAAAAATTGTTTAGATAAGTTTTCTTACCTTATCTTTCCGTAAACAGTCTTGAAAAATTTGTATTGATCTTCTCTATCAGTATACATTTTAAATTTGAAAATATTGTGTTTGTAAACTGTTTTACTTATCTTGTTGACCTTCAAGGGACCAACATCCCCTCTTTCTCATCATCATTTGGAGGAGGGAGGCGAGTTATAATCTCATTGAGCCTAAACTCGAGTTCGGTCAGTGACTTAGCTTGCGACGCATGAGTCTCCTCCAACGATTGAAGAGCTGAGAGATTGGCAGATAAGAAGGATGTAGCAGCAATTAGAACTGATTTCTGAAGCTCTTGAAATTTTTTCTTAAGTAACCTTCCATGCTTAGCCAGCTGAATGTTAACTCTTTAGAGTGTTTGGCGAAAGCACTCTAAAGGACCTTCATGTTGGAGAAGTTCTCAGAGACCTCCACCTTCAGCTTGAGCATGTCTTCCTTTAAAGAAGATGTGGACCGTTAGATGTTGGTACCATACCATTGAAGGTTATTGTTATAACCGTGTATTTGGTTTTAAAACTCGAGGTGGTTTTTGAAAAGTATCGATAAGTTAAGGGGTTAAATTGTTTATGTGTTAAAAATCAATCACCCACCACCTCAATTGTTTAAAATGGTTTTTATATGAAATATTCTTAATATCTCATAAGTATATTTGAAGTTGGTGAAAATTTTACTGTGTGTGCTTATTGGGTGCGAATCAAACAGAAACAGGAAAGAACTAAATTGATTATGTGATTTCTACGTGGGAGATTGTTGATATTTCATCTTCATGTTCTCATCTCTCTTATGATTAAGGTGAGTTTAATTTTTATGAACATTCCTTATTTGGAAACTGATTATAGAACCATGTGGCTCTTTATATGAGATGATGTTATAAATCTGTTTTGATGTCAAAATTTGGTAAAATTAGTGGTTTTTGATACATATATATCATAAGTGGAAATAAGGGTGGCATATCAAGGAAAGATGTATTTGGTTTATAAGGATGGCATATCAAGGAGAGGTGTATATTGGGATAAGGGTGGTATATCAAGGAGATGTGTATACCAGGATAAGGGTGGCAAAATAATTGAGTTATAAAATTTGGGTTTTGATCTAGTGTTCATAATTATCGCATCATTATGATGCGATAACTTGGGGTTGTGGCATCTGTGTGATGCGATAATTTTGAGTCGTCGCATCCTATTGATACGATGAAGTGTGGTTATTGCATCCTTGTGATGCGAGATGGGAATTTTTTCGCACCCTTATGATGTGAAAAGTTGGATTTATCGCACCCTTATGATGCGATGAGTTGGGTTTATCGCACCTGTGTATTGTGAGAACATGGGTTTGTCTCATTCATATGATGTGAGAAGTTTATATAATGTTCTATATGATGCGACAAGTTTTACCCATAATGTATTTAATCGAATTATTAGGTATTTGGATGTGATGAATAACGTTTGTTATATCATAATGGTATATATTTTTTATTATTGCAAATATAATTTCATAAATAAGATTTGGTGATTTTCTACCCTATAATTGCATCAAAAGAATATCTCACTAGACCTCAACATCTAACTCTCACTTTGTATTTCAAAAATGTGCATTACAGGTAGGGCACAACCAGAAGATAAACGAAAAGGAAAATTGTGAAGTGATAATATTATGCTTGCATGGGATTTTGGGCTAGCATATTATTCTTCTGTATTTGAATATTCGGTATGTATTCATGTGCTGTATA